GTTTCCTCGCCAGTGCAGGCCGGCCATCGACGAACATGATCGATGATTATTAAAAATATTTATAAAGTTTCCTTCCTGATATCCGTTTTTGATTAGGTATCAAAAAGAAAAATGCGCTATCAAACGAATTAATACAAAACAGTTCAATCTATGCAAATTTATTCGAACACTGTTTTTGCGCATGTCTACCAGATATTAAGTCTACACTTGACATTGTCTCCGCACATGGACTACAATTCACGATGTAGCCCTGTATCACGGGTGGTAAATAGACAGGTTGTCTGGTAACTTTACACCAATCAGCGTCGAAAATCTAGTGGCGGAATGACGTCACTGAGAATGCTACATTCAAATTCAGTCTCTTTACTGGTTGAAATGAACTCAGAATGATTTATTGCATGATTGAAAATATATTAATCTACGTATATTGAAAAAAAAATACTTTTGGACTTTTAATGACTATTTATTTCATTCAATCTTTAAAAAATGTGGGAGATACAGAAATGCAAAGTTGCAGAAATTGTAGAATATAATTGCAACTAAAATAGGTAGTAGAATAGCACTTAATTAAATTAGAAGTAGATTCTTTCTTGTCTATATATGTGACTAAAGCATGCAAATATAGTATATTAATAATTGCTATATGAATACAATGTTTATATATCAGAATTAGTAGTTTAGCTGTCTCAAGTTTTCTAATCCATGATTTAAGATTGCTTTCAGTATCTTCATTTTCTAGAAGTTTTTGTTGAAAGTTTCACGTTTTCTGCTTTCATGTTCCTTAATTCTATTTTTAGTATATCTAATTCTGATTCTTTATCACATGAAGGTATTTCTGGCAAATCAATATGTTGGGTAGGAGTATTCATTTGTATTACTTTTATCTGTCCCTCTTTTCGTATTCTGCAAAATTATGTTTAACAACATCTTTGTTTTCTTTCCTGGCCATGCGTTTTGATCTCATACTTATTTGTTTTACGTCTTCATTTGGTAGTAGAAATAACGATGGAATTGCTAAAATTAAAAGTTTTAATTACAACTGAATGGAAGTTATTATTAATGATATTTGTTTGTTGTTTTACTTTATTTTGTAATACTCAATCACAGAAATAACTCAAAGTCAATGAATTAACACATTTTACCTGAATATTTAAATGGCTGTACCTACTTACCACGTTTTTTTTAGCTTTTCAGGTTGTATGTTTAATAGTTTAGCTTTTAAAGCATCCTCATAATCTTCCATGCAAAAGTGTATACTACAAATATTTTATTAACACAGTACCACCTATCTTTCCCACGAGACTTGCTGATCCATCGCTTTTGAATTTTTACATTTTTTGGATATGTAAAAAACATTAAATTCCTTCCATCCTCTTCGGACATTTTTGATTTTGTTTGCAGATTGCCACACACTGCAAATATTTCCATCAATCATCTGAATCAATAAAAAAAAATTGAATTAATTTATGAACATTTTCCTGCATTAATACCAATGTTACAGTATGTACAACCACATTAAATGTATCTTAACACTTGTATAAGAATTTTGGGTTGAAGTTATATACTAAAAAACACTCAATGTTATCTATAGACACATTATATCCCAAGATATAGACTATAGACTCTATAGACATATTATAACCGAAGATATAAACATAAACTAAAACACTAACGATATTTAACAACAAAATATATTATCCAAACCACCTATCCTATTCTGTTCTCAGACAATTCGTAAAATTGACCCCCTGAGTGACGTCACGGTGACATATTTCATTTGTCTGCACAGACAACAATTTGTTTGTGCAGTCTTAAGTTGTAGTCGTAATCAGTAAAAAAAATAACCGCTGATTAATGTTAAGTGTGAGATTCTTGTTGTATTTTTAATTGAAAGTTGAATAAATATCTAGGATCATTTCCATTAGGTTATTGGAATGAATTATTGGTTTGTTTGGACGAACACATGCCTTAACTGTAAAAGTGACAGATGGAATTGATTGAGTAAAAGTGACAGATGGAATTGATTGATCTTCAAACACCTGGATTCTGGTTGCGTTTCTTTAAGCTGCGACTGGTCATTTTATAAAGGTATAGATTGCACCTCATCCAAATGACTCCCAGCTACTACTAATTTGTCGTCAATTGTGCTATTTTTGATTTACCCAAGAGAATCATTCATTTATTTTTGATTTGTTGACACTGTTCTGCACTTCGAACTGTACCTTCACCTTCAGAACTACCCTCCGAGGGCTAAGACGGTTTTGAAATGAACGCATGATAACGAATACAAAATGAGCCGAAAAATTAGTTTTATTATTTAGAGCAGTTCGATGGTTTGATTATCTGTTCCTATAGAAATCACGTAGCCTATATATTTATAGATGATTACTTGGTCTGTCTGTTGTTCCTTCTTATCTGTTTTAACTAGTTATAAAATTAACATGCCCAGTAAAAATATAAGAGAAAAAGAATGAAACCTGGAAAACAACTGCTCAAGGAAAGCCTACTTATAATATTTTATAAGAATTTAATCGTTTTTCGTGCACTCTTGTCCACAAAAAGCTATTGCTAGTAGTTCTGATTGAAATGTAGGAGTATTTCCTAGGGCTAGTCTCGAGTTAATTTGGGCTTCCATTCCTTGCATAGATGGAGCACATATAACACTGCCATTCCAAGATTCACATTCATAACACCACTTATAAGCAAGCACCTTTTTTATTTGTAAAATGAGTTTTGAATAATTTTATTCTATATTTTATTTATTTTTCTGAATCTCGTTTTTAGTGTAACAATAATAATAATATCGTATGGCGTTGTTGCCGGGGAGATCTTTCGGATTGTTCTGACGTCAATTGCAATTTAGTCCTGTTTCTGGTAACTAGTGTCAATGTGCACTATCCTAGTGGGACTAAAGACTTTACGTGTCGTCCGAAACACGGTGGCGGCTCGTATAATTTTTAGAAATTGAAAATTATTAGTACTGTGCTATAAGCGCCTTATACTGTTATATATTCTATTTATTTTTATTCTTATAGGGTAGCTCTAATTTCTTTCCAGATATTCATCTTCGAAGTATCTTTACTCTTGTTGTTTCCAGTAATCTTTCTATTTTTAGTATGTTTTGGTCTAGTTTCTACGTTATATGTAATGATAGGTCTTATTTATGACTAATTTTTAAGTTTTGGCTTTGGTCTAATATTAATGTTTTTGTTTTGCGATATTGAATAATTTATTCATTCTATCGTTTTACTACTCTTATTGTAATCCAGTCATAACATCACCAAAATCTGATCTTTATATACTTAAATATTTCAATTTCATTACTTACGTATTGTTGTAAAAGTCAAGTCTCTTCTTCTTTATGTGCTGTCTTCTACAGAAGGTTGGCGACCATCAGACGATAGGTTTCTCTGTTTTGTGCCGCATGTATTATGTGCGCAGCTTCTGGTATTTGAAACCATTCTCTCAAGTTCCTCATCCAGGATTTCTTCTTTCTGTCCAAACCTCTTCTACCTTCAATCTTGCCTTCCACGATAAGCTGTAGCAGACTGTACTTATCATTACGAAACACATGGCCCAGGTATGACGCTTTCCTCCTTTTAACAGTTGTTAATAATTCCACCTCTTTACCCATTAGTCTTAATACATCTGTGTTGGTCACTCTGTCTGTCCAAGATATTCTCAGTATTCTATGCGTCGATACAGCCACATTTCTATAGCCGCTAACTTCTTTATAGTTGCTGCGGTTAACGTCCACCTTCTACTCCGTAAAGTAGCGTAGTGAGTACGTAGCATTTCGTGGCGCGCCATCGGAGGTTAACGCTTAGGTTGCGATTGCTTTAGAGCTTTCTCATTTTGGTGAATTTGGATCTTGCTATTTCAATTCAGATCTTAATCTCTACGTCTGGTTCCCACTTATCATTTACTGTATATCCCAGATATTTAAATCGGTGTACTCTTTCAATCGTTCGGCTTCAATATTCAGGTCGATATGTTGAATGTTCTTTTACTGATCACCATAAATTTAGTTTTCTTTAATTGATCTTCAGTCCAAATCGGTTGCCAGTTGTATTTACTCTATTTAGCAGCATTTGTAAATCTTCGATGTTATCGGCCAGTATAACAGTATCATCTGCATATCGAAAATTACTTATTGGTACGCCATTAATCTTAATGCCCTCGGTGTACTCTTTCAGTGCCTCTAGAAATATTTGTTCCGTGTACAGGTTGAAAAGCAGTGGTGAAAGAATACAGCCCTGTCTAACCCCTCTCGAAATGGTTTCGTTTTCACTCACCATATGTCCATTCTTCATGTGGGCTGTTTGATTCCAATATATTTTTTATAATCTGGATGTCTTTAGTGTCAAGTCATGTAAGATGTAATATTTCTATGAGTTTGTCATGTTTGATAGTATCGAATGCTTTCTCATAGTCGATAAAACAGGCGTAAACATCTTTCTGTTGATCCAGGCATTTTTGAATCAAGACTTGTATTGCAAAGAGGGGCTCTCGAGTTCCAAAACCGCATCTAAAACCGAACTGTGTTTTACTTATGCTGTGTAAAATTAGAACACAGCATAAGTAAAAGTCAAGTAAAAAACATAAATGTTAATCTCGTTTTCCCTGTTTTTTATCCTTTACTTTTACAGTTTTCTTGTTATTTCGTTCAGGATGATATGAAATGAAGGAGACTCAACGAGTCTCTCTAACAGATGGCATTTCAGTCGGTATTGATTGTAAGTTCCTCGCTTTATAACATCATCGTTGTATAATAAATTAATAACTACTACCAACTTAACCGCTAGTTAACTAAGCTGAGTTCATTATATGATCACTTTTAGCTATGTAATAATGTTTCTAATACATCGTTTTAACCTTGTTACATATGAAATAAAAAATAGAACGTGACTGTGTTATGTTATTATAACTAACTTCATACTTTAACTAATAATCTCTAGTAATATTTTTGGCAAATTTTTAACTATGTCGATTTTTCTCAGAACTGCGAAATAGAGTCTCTGGTAGACGAACTTTGTGAAAAACTGAAGGAAGTCAATAGCGAAACCACGTTTCCCCACTTTAACTCGTCAGAAGTTATAGCAGAAACTGTCTACGAATCTAAGAAGATCACACCTCAAGAACTTGCCGAAAAGTATTACGCCGCTTTCCCCCCTCTTTGTCCGCAATCACCCTCCGAAGAATCTAAATTGTTGTCGTTGATACCCAAGTGGAGAAACGTCACCTCCTCCTCATCTCCGTTGGTTACTTCTCCAATCAAGAAGAAATCGACCAGGAAGAATTGTAAAATCGGCAACGGAAACAGGTCCCATGCCAAAGTAAGTTACACATTTTCAATGATTTGAATGTACTCTTAGGTTTAAACACATACTTGATTCTTTTTATAATATATAAATAATTAATAAAATTTTACGTATATTGAATTGTACATATGATGAGACAAAAAATCTTGTCAAGTTTCATTCAAATTCAGATTAAAATTCAGTCCCGTCAGTAGAATTAATTCAGTAGAAGTCATTAGAAACATGTTTTATTAAGTTTTAATATTTTCGAAATCTGGTAAACTCTTATTTGTTGCATTTGATCATATTTATGTAAGATGTTTGGCAATATTTGAATTGAATTGTCATAATTTAGAGACGAAACTCTAAGCATTCCGACAACTAGATACATTATCCAACAAAATCAATCTACAGACAAATGGTGCCCCAATTGGCTCCCCACTATCTAAAGTAATTGCCAATATCTTTATGGAAGACTTCGAGACCCGAGCACTATCCACACAGCTCTTTCAATTAGTTAAATTAGTAAACAAAGAAAAAATTATATAGCATTTTATCGTTTGCTTCAAAAACCACCATTTCTCCAGTGAAAATGATAGAACATCAAAAAAACCCTAGAAAGAAAGTTAATAAGCAGTAAACCTAAGATACAGTGGAATAGAATAAGACATAAGGAAGATGGGAATAAGAAACATGGGTAGAAAGTGTAAGATGAGAAAGAATGAAGTGGGAAACATGTCAGAAATTGCAACCAAAAGAAAACTCACATTGCTCACATATAAATAAATTTCTTCTGGAGCCAACTGTAATCTCAGCAAGGGAGCATTAACGATTCCGGACGTATATAGTTACAGAAATTATCCTGTATTTAGAAGCATGTAATGTCGCAGCAAATGCCTCCAGCGCTCTTATTTGCAGTACTTTGACACCCATGAATAGTTTCGAGAAATTGTTATCTTTGAACTTTGTGCACAAGATACAGAACAAAATTATCTGCTCATCGTCTATACTTGACGGTAAGAAACACGAACTAAATGGTTATTCATATTTTACAATTATTTTATTGTTTTTAAAAAATAGCGAAAAATTAGACTGAGATTCAATGGACCTGTGAGAAAAGTAAAAAGTAAAAATAGACTTTTATAATTAAAATTAGAACAATTTTAATTCATATTATTATCATTTTCGCTTTCATCAGAATGGTCATCTTGATTCTCAATACTCGTTAATTCCACTTGAGTAGTTTGATAAATTTAGAGAGAAAATGCTTTTTATTATTTCTTAACCTTGACAACGGTGTTTAAGATCGACCTATGTATGAGCTATGTAGACTTATGATATATTTTGACCAGTTAATGAGGTACCTTTTCGGTGCATACCGCACAGTTTGTTTTTTAAGTGTTTGATAACGCTTACACTATCTTCCACCTTCAAGGTCATTCCAGAGACATGTGTGCCCCGAATTATTATTAGCACAAAGTATTATCCGATTGTATAACAATTTCTTTTATATGATGCCACTGAAATAGTCAATTTTAATGCTTTAGGTAGATCAAAAGTTGTTTGTATGCTTCATCAACTTTTAAAGAATCCGCCTGCCAATTTTTCTTGCTGAATTTGCCTCTTGTGAATATACCTCCTTTGGGTAATTTAATTTCTTAGATTCAGTCATTTCTCGCTCCATTTTTTTATATAAAAATAGTACATATTAAGCACAGGGATTTGCCTTTTTTGGAAACCGTTGTTTGTTATAAAAATCGGTCGTACTTCAGCCAGTTATATTGTACATCTTCCGCTCAAACTTCAAGTCCTAACTGCCTTATTGTGCCGCTGAAGATAGTCAGAAGATACGCAATTTTTGAATGCGACAGATAAGACAAAGCATTTTATTATTGAAACAGAAGGCTCCCATCTCCCCCTCCTCAGTCCTAATCCCTTTTGGGATATGGTGACACCATCAGGCCTTCACAGTTTTTTTTACGATTTCCCTCCATCCTTCTCTGTCCTGGGCTAGTTGTTCTGCTTCATGTAACCCTTGGCTTCCATCTAGATGATGATAAATTACATGTTAAAGAGTCTAAAACTGGCAACGAGGGTACCAGTTAATAACGAAAATAATTAAAAAGAAAGATGGAGAAGACAGAGCTTTAAGAAATGAAAGCGGAAAGTGTACTTTAAAATTTGCCCAGTATGAATATATCGTGATATACTTGATCCCTACATTAATGGGTCCTGAAGGTTTTTAGCTGGTAAAAGTTCAGCATGCCATTTCCTGATAGAACACAAGCGGATGTTTCAGTCATTCGTGATAACCATTCCAGGGTTCTGGAACTATGTACCAGCTTGTACACGTCTAGAGGTACCATATGGTTTTGGACTCACTCGATAGTCTCCGAAACGTGTTTGCCGCCTACAATCTAATACCTTGCAATCATGCAAAATATGGTTGAAGGTTTCAGGTCCTCTGCTACAGAGTCTATAGCTAAAGTTTCCATCAAACAACCTCATTATGTGCAGGTGTCCCTTGACATACGCATGTCAATATACATTTTGCCATGTGCTTGACCGGGTGTATTTTCCCACTTGGCACTCCCACAGCAGGCTCTGGAATACGAAGTATTCTGTAACTGATGCTTTTCTAACAAGAGCATCAGCAACAGGGATTTGCCTTACTGTGAAAGTGCTGTGTTACCCACTCTAAGGAATATTTAATAGCTTCAGTTGATTGAGTAAACAAATAATGCTCTCTATGGAATTATATTGAAATTATTCGAGTTAATTCACTTTATAGTAGTATATAAATGATACAACGCAACTGTAATTATAGGTCTGACTTGTTCTCCTCTGCATTTTTTTCTTTGGCACATTAATCCTGTAAATTTACAGATGTTAAAATGTTGATACTTCATAGTAATTAAACATTAAAATATGAAAATTTCGCATTTCGTCCATAAAATACACCTTATAGAAATTAAAGATTATAAATGCTTAAAAGTTTTAATTTTGTTCCAGGAAAGTCACGATACAATGAAAGCTCGCAACCAAACTAAACAACGTCTCAACTGTTTAGCTCGCAATAAGAACAACTTGCGCAACAACGCCACTTTCAATACCTGGGACCTAAGCTTCTTTCCCGCCAACAATAAAAAGTTCGCTAATAATAAAACGAAAAGAGGATCAGTCCGACATGGAGGAATCTTTCGATCAGTGTGTAGAAATTAACAGAAACATTTGGGACAATGAAGATGAAGTTAATATGTATGAGGATTTGCCTGTTGACATCATAGATTTGCTGGATTCTCCGAGGCCAAGTGATGACACAGTTGAGATGATGAATATCGCAAACATGAGAGATACTGGGAAGCGAAGATTTATCCCATACGGGACGAACATTATGAGGTAATCTTACTTAATATTGTTACTTTACTAAATTCTTATGAGTATATCATTTTTTCACAGGTAAGTTGTTATTAGTTGATTTGCTATCTGATCATAAAATATTTAGAACATAAGAAATCACATTTAAAATCAACTATTTCACATTTTAACTTAACAGTCTGGTTTGTTTCCTCACTGATAAATCATTCTAAGGCTTCTTCTTTAAATGCCGTCTCCCAATCGGGAGGTTATATATCATCACTATCTTTACTTTATCTGCTGCTGCTCTGAAGAGTTCTATAGAACTGCATTTAAACCAGTCCCTTAAATTCTTCATCCATGACACTTTCCTTCCTATACTCCTTCCTCCCCTTATCTTTCCCTGTATTATCAGCCTTACCAGTTCATATCGCTGTCCCCTCATTACGTGTCCCAGATATTGTAACTTTCTTATTTTTATTGTGTTTATTATTTCGCATTATTTGTCCATTTCTCGCAATACTTCCGTGTTAGTTTTCTTCTGTGTCCATGCTATTCTAAGCATCTTCCTGTAACACCACATTTCAAAGAACTGTAGCTTATTTATGTGTTCTTGCTTCAATGTCCAGCTTTCAAGTCCACATTGCAGTATCGAATCGTAGCATCTCAGCGCTCTTACTATCAGTTCTAATCTAAGATCTTTGTTGCAGAGAATTGTTTTCATTTTTACAAACTAATTTCTTGCTATTTCTATCCTAGCTCTTATTTCGGTTGTTTGATCATTATTGTCTGAAATCCAGGTTCCTAGCTATATATAATTTATCAACCCTTCTATCGGTACATTTCCCAAATGTATGTTTGTTTGTATATTTGTTTTCTTTGTTATTATCATGTATTTGGTCTTTTTTATATTAATTTTTAGTCCATATTTTTCACAGAAACTGTTTTGTTTAGCAGTAATTGGGAGTTGTTCAGCAGAGCTTGCCATAATCACGGTGTCATCTGCATTTTTTATCTTGTTAATAGATCTTCCGTTAATTATTATTCCTTCACTTTGAAATACTAATGCTTCTTCAAAAATGGCTTCACTATATACATTAAATAGTAATGGGGACATAATACATCCCTGCCTAACTCCTCTTCTGATTTCAATGTCTGGACTGGGTTCGTTATCTTGTCGAAGAGGCGTTCGACAGGGATGTGTGCTTTCCCCTCTTTTATTTAAAATTTATTCGGAAGCCATATTTCAAGAGTCTTCGGAGGATGCAGAGATGGGAATCAAGGTGAATGGAGTATTGATCAACAACATACGATATGCTGATGATGGTGTCTTAATTTGTGACAACATAGTCGATCTTCAACAACTTGTCGCTATAATCAGTAAGCTAATGGGATTAGAGATTAATACCAAAATACCAAATTCATGATCATCTCCAGAAACTTGGATGCACTTGAAAACTCCACCATAACACTGAATACTAAGTCCATTGAAAGAGTGAGTTAAATACCTGGGATCGTGGCTTTTTGAAGACTGGGCATCGGACAGGGAAGTAAAATGTCGCATTGAGCAAGCTCGACAAGCTTTCGTAAAATTCAAGAAGGTACTGACTTGTTCAGAGTTCGATCTTCAACTGAGACTAAGGTTTACTAAGTGCTACTGTATGGTCAGTGCTGCTATATGGCGTAGAGGGCTGGATACTCAAAACGAGGGATATAAAACAGATTAAAGCTTTCGAAATGTGGCTTTATCGCCGTATCCTAAAAATACCATGGACAGCGAAAATCACAAATATAGATGTCCTTAAAAGAATAAACCAAGAACGCCAACTTTTCGAAACCATCAAGAAAAGGAAAACGGCGTATCTAGGTCACATCATGCGAAATGAAAAATACCAGTTCCTCCAACTTATACTCGAGGTAAAATTGAAGGCAAGAGAGGAATGGGACGCAAGAAAATGTCCTGGCTCCGAAACATAAGGCAATGAACAGGGATTACGACATACAATCTCTGTACATATTGCAAGAAATAGAGAATTAATGGAAAATGTGATCGCTAACATCCATTAGTATGCAAGAAGAAGAAGAAGTTCGTTATCTATTACGATTTGTGCTCTTTGATTCCAGTAGAGGTCTATTATTATTCGTATGTCCCTATGGTCTATGTTTTTTGTCTTTAGAATTTGGACTAATTTTTCATGTCATACTTTGTCAAATGCTTTTTCAAAATCAACGTAATAAACATGCACATCAACATTCATATCCATGCATCTTCGAGCTAACACATTAAAAGCAAATAACGCTTATCTGGTTCCTAGTCCGTTTCTGAAGCCAAACTGACTATTATCTATTCCTTCTTCCAGTCTTTTATTTATATGATATGTATTATTTCTAATGCATGTCATAGTAAATAAACGTTTACTAGAAATAAAATACACATTTTTTAATTGCAAATGTTAACACTATCTTATAAATATTTTAGCTCCATATGGTCAACTGATCAAGATGTAACTTTTGACAATAATTTCAACTCAACCATCGATGCCTCACAGAATGTCGCCAATAATACAGAACTAACTCTAGACTTCAAATTCAGCGCAATCTCTATTGACAATCCATCTCTCAATTCCTCGTTTGATGATTGGCCGCCAGCTAATTCTATGGTTGAAAACGAGACCAACGCTCTATTCGAAACCAACAAGGAATTTAGACATAAATATTTCTCTAATGATTTCCATAGCCTTCCTGGTAATTGGAGCGTTGGAGAGGGAAGAAATGTGGACGCTGAAAAGGAAATATACGAAACGGAAAAATTGTTGGCTTTCAGTTTGATGAAGTTAAATCACAATAAGGAGAAAAGTGGCTTTCGAGAAGTAACACCAAGATCTGCGTCTCAGGTAAATAAGTGAATATATGTGTATAATTATTATAAGTAGGACCATCGAGTATTTCGCGACCATCGAGTAAATTTACATCATATCGAAGAACAACAAAACATTATCAATGTTTTTCAAAATCTAACGAATGACACCAATCACGAACCCGCAGCTCCATCCCCTGTGGGGCAAGTGCAACTATAACATCTTAAATGAGAACTTAAATAGGTCTGGCTTAAATAAATTTCATATGTTTCTGGCTAGCTCGTGACTTGATCTATAAATTCAACAAACTATTCACAGCAATGTGTGCTCATTTCACTGAGCCATCGAGATAAGTGAATGAAAATAAAAATAATTCGCTTGGTTCTAGAGTTCCTCTACCTAAAGATGCATTATATACAGATAAACTAATAAATGATTCGAGTTCAGTGTAAGTTATGCAGGGGAGAACTTAACCAACAATTTTTGCTTTTTGCTTCGAGAAAATTAGAAACCACTCATTGAAACTTAACGTAAACTTTGATAAAATGTTTCTAAAAGAATAAATTTCATCTTCGCGTGCCATATGAGATTTATCTGACGTTGGCGATTACCATTGCGAAGGCTTCTCGATCTTCTGCAATATGGAATAATTGTCCTGCATTTGGTATCTGAGTCCATTCACGAATGTTTTTTAACCAAGAGAATTTGTTATTCTTCCTACACCTCTACGGCCCTCTATTTTGCCTTTAAGGATCAGTTGTAAAATTTTATATCGACTTCCCCTTACTATATGTCCCAGATAAGACATTTTTCGATGTTTAACCGTCTTTAGCAGTTCGCTGTGTTTGTTGACGCTCCTTAGTACATTTTTCATTAGTTTTTCTTGTTGTCCAAGGAATCTTCAGCATTCGTCTATGAACCGACATTTCCAATGCTTTAATGTTGTTCATGATCGATACTTTTAGCTTCCACACTTCTGCACTATACAAAAGTACAGACCGACCAATTACAGCACTTAACCATTTTTGCCTTAGTTCTAAATTGAGATGGTTAATGCAAAGAAATGACTTCATTTTCATAAAAAGTAGTTTTAGTCCATTGCTATTCTACGTTTTTATTCTATGTCTGGATTCTATTGCCACAGTTCCCAAATATGTCATTTTGTGAACTTTCTCACTTGACTCTGTTTAATTGAAGCTTTGCTTCGGATGTGGGTCACGACTAAACACTAAAAATTTGGTTTTGTTTGAGTTAATACGATCAAGCAGAATTTGAAGACCTTCAATATTATCTGATAGAATTTTCTCGCATTGTGTTTTTTTAGGTATTGCGATAAAGATGGATTTGAGCCAATCTGCGGGAATCACTCCGTGTTATATATTGAAATTAAAAATCTTACTACTTTTATGTTATCATTCTCTATTAGTTTCAGCAACTCAGTTGGTGTATCATCTGGACCACAAGCTTTTCTAATTTTAGCATTATTTATAGCATGTTCTACTTCGCATTTCATAATTTCTGGGCCGTCAGTACAGTTTTGGTAAAACTCCGCAATATTATTCCTGTCATCTTCAAACAACTCTGATATATACAGCTGCCATTATTTTCTTATTTCTTGCTCATTTACAATAAATTTGTTATTAGTGTCAACAAGTACAGAGGGAACACGTTTTTTAAAATATATTACTCATTTCTTTCAGTTTTTTGTGCACATTAAATAAGTCGTGTTTAGATATTACATCTTAGATAAATTTCATATCCTTACCTATCTGTTTGCTGTATAGATCGGTTCGTATAGAAATCATTTCTGATTTACTCCTCTTTTTTTTAATAAGACGTTTGGGCATGTACCTTTTCCATTAGTGAACTTTATATGTACTGACTTGCTTTCTTTTACTGTAATTCGCCATGTTTGTAACCAAGTGTTTATTTTATCGAGATTGGTCGGGAGCAGTTGGGAGGCGATGTACGGATTTGAGTGAGCCGTAAGGAGTGCTGTGTCGTAAAGACACTACCCTGAGGTACTCCAGCTTTAATCGGATATAAGTTTAGTGCACTGATTCTTTACTTTTACAAGTAAATGGCGGTCGAACAGATATATGACTTGAGGATTAGAAAGTAGTTGAGAGGAAGGACTTCCTCTCAAACTTATATTTGTAAAACGATATTCTCATCATCCTACATTTGGTATATAAAAAATAAGATATAAATCTCGAAGGACCAGTGACCAATTGACCAATAATTCAAATATGACTTCCGGTTGAAATATTTTTATTTTATGATTTACTTAATTAGAACACAGTATGTTAATAATATTAAACGTTAATAAAATGTACAAATGTTGGTTGAGTTTACCGAAAGTACAAGCTGAATATAGCCGCAAATGTCACAAATATTTGGGTTTGGCAGTGTTGGCATGTTTTTATAATGCATATGTTGAATGCTTCAAATATAAAGAGATAAAGCGTTTAAAAAGTACATTTTGATTATACTATTTTATGAAATTCTGCAATTTTTATTATATGAAGTAATAATGAGTAGATCTTTTGTAATATGGTAACTGCTGATTTGACGATTGCTAAATCTATCCCCTAATCTATCAAAGGGTAACTGCTAAAAAAAGTTACAAATACAAGTAAAGACACAAATACTTACTCGTTGTTGTTTTATATAAATCAAAAATTGCAGAACTCATAACACAATATAAACAAAATGTACTTTTCTAAAGCTTTATCTTTTTATATTTGAAGTATACAACATCTGCATTCTAAAAACATGCCAACATTGCTAAACGGAAATTTGTTGTTCCATGTTTCACATTTGCGGCTATAATCAGCTTGTACTTTCGGTAAATCAACCCAAATGTTCGTATTAAATGTTCTTAAAACTAAACAAATGAGATAGATATGTAGAACAATAAAGTTTTGTTGTATAACCGGCAATCCTGTAATTTATCGAAACCGGCAATCCTGTAATTTATCGAAACCGGCATTTACGATTGATGAGCACTCAAAACTTGATTTCTTCAGTATTAAGCAATAATTTCAGGTACTTACATATTTGATGCACTAGCACTAAATTTAATGTGTTAACTATTTAATCAAAATAAAATTGGAACTTGAAATCTGATTTCCTTGAAAACCGTTTTCACCAACGCACTTTTCCAATTTAAAGTTGTGTTTGGTTCATTTTAAAAACAATCCAGTCTCATCAGCATTGAAAATCTTTGTCTGTCGCATATCGTGCCTTCAGTCCAGGCCACACGTTTTCTAGCCAATCATCCGGTAGGTTTTTGTTAACATCGCGAGCCTTTCCGCTGATCTACCCGTAGTTCATCCTGTGCCTCAGCTTCCACTTGCTCAGCCAACCTTCAGATGCCTTGAAATTCTCAATTCCACACTGTTGCAAAAAACTCAGCTTTTGTCCTGGCCACAGACCCAGAAAGTGGAATATGGTTCAAACGCTGCTGCTGGAACCACTGAACCATAGCGCGATATAAAGTTTCCGCAACTTTTTCCTACCGCCCTCCATTTCCACTTTAACTCTATTTTTTCTATCCTTCCATATAGTAGCCACGGTTGACTGAGACAGCCCCGTACGACAAATGACATCCGATTTGATTTTCCCCTTTCTCTATTGTCCGAGTTTTTTTCCACCGAGATCACTTTATGCTTTCTCGAAAACATGTTGACTGTTCACACACTTGAGACACAAAGGAATGCGAAAGTGAGAAGTCGTCAATAGATGACAACATATTTGTGAAAGTAGTTAGGCACGCCGCGCGAACAATAAAAGCGTGCCACTCAACCCTTGATTAACAATGATTAGGAGGGGAGCGGCATTCCTTAAACGCGAAACAAAACAATCACTGGGCAATGGCCTTGCCACTCGTGACTCAGGTAGTCTGGACTTTAAACATATTTGCCATCGACTATTAAACTCTGAAAATTCGTCGCTTTAAAGAGAATGATATCGTTATAGAGAAGAATTAATACATTGTCAACAACGTTTACTATTGTTATTGTTATAGGACAATTATCGTTATGTAGGGAATCGTTATAAAGAGAGACTACTGTAATTTGTTCGATCCATAAACTTTTGTAAATGTTCATAAATCTTCACTTTACACTAAAATGTCTAATACTAAAAGTGTCTCTAAAAAAATTGTGTAAATGTATGCTTAATATAATGTATCTATTTTAGCCAAAGGCCTTTACCCCTTTTGGAAAATCGGTGAATACCTTTAACTTCAAGGCTGAAAAGGATTATATCGAAAACTCGGATAAGGAGGATTTGTTAACATCAGAACGTTCCCATTTCAAGCCTATTTGTGAAAAAGATGAGGTTCGACATCAATCGAAATATGCCGATGGTGCAACATTCATAATTTCCAATAATCTTGATAAGGTATTATATATGAGTCTAATATTCAAAACTGTTTAATGAATTTTCCAATTCTTTTTAGGTTGATTACAAAAGAAGTGAAAGTGGTACAATGTGGCTTGAAACGGAATTTGGTCAAACTAAAAAATATTATGAATATAAAATGCCTGGGAAGCCTATTTTTACGGAACCAGTGGAATTCATTCTTAAATTTAGTATTAACGAAAACGACAAGGCTTGCCAAACGGATGATTGGGAATCGGATAATGAGGTTGAAGGATATACTAAAATTGAGGTGAGTGACATTTTTTATGTTAAATTACAATTAACACTAGAAAACATTACTTGTTGACTATGTTGTATTTTGGAAGTGTGAATAAAATAATAATTAATTTCGTACCTCATTTACATATTTTAAAAATACAAAATAAGATTTATAAGAAGATAATTAAATTATAATTTAAAAATATTTTATTCCTATTGGCATACATTGTAAACGCTGACTGTAAACAATTTTTTTAGACCAGAGAATTTAAAAGAAAGAAAGAAAAGAAAGCAAATAAAAAGCCTTTTTCGTGACACTTCTCTGATACAGGTATATAACAACTGCTTTTGATAAATTTAGTGATAACAATATGTAGTAAATATAATGTATAAAAGATTAAACGTTATTTTTTACTTATAAACAATTTAAGATGCTATTTGGTTTTAAATATGGAAAAGTGACACACATTTACTGAAAAAGCATAGAAAATCTTTTAAAATGGGGGTTTGTAAAGATATTTTTGTTAATTTGTTGTCTTATTATTGCAAAAATAGTTTCAAAAGTCGATTTTTGAAACGTATTAATAACTTTTCTAAAAATGCACAAAAGACTTCAATTTCGCGTGATAATAGGGACAGTATCACATTATATTCAGCTATAAAAATTTCAATAAGCTTCAATTAACAGTTATTGCAAAATTAAAATTGTTTATCCCAGAAAGCTTTGATGTACCGCTTTGAGCAGTGTATTTTGAAGGATAAATGCTTATTATTTACATACTGTCACTGCCAAATCTTAAAATTTGTTCAATAAATTATTCTGTTAATCCTCAAAATGGCTCCACATGCTAGCAAAGAACTAAAAGCAAGAGTTTTAACGAAATTAGAAGCTGGTTGGTCACTATCTGCCATAGCGAACCATTTTAAAGTAAGCAGAACAACACTTTTTAATATTAATAAAAGATGGAGAGAACAAGAAACTCTCGAAAGAAAGCAAGGTTCTGGAAGACCAAAAATATCTACCTCTCATGAAGATCGTACGCTTTTGGATAGATTAGAAGAGAATCCTTTTGAAGATGCGAAAACTGCAATAATTATGCCACAGTTTCCGGGAAGAAAGACAACTTGGCGCAGAATTAAAGCATCACATCGTAGGTACCGAACTGCAACAAAAAACAAGCTATTAGACCACTACAGAAGGAATCAAGACTTATATTTGCTTTAAACCATCAACTACAAAATCAGAATTTTTGGGACAGGGTAGTATTTACAGATGGAAAATTTTTTCAATCTTCTAAAAACGGCAAAATTGAGGTGTATAGACCAGATAATAATAGATTTAATCATCTATATGTTGATAGATATCGAGCAGCTGGTCATTTTAGTATGGGGATGGATTTCATCTAGAGGAATGGAAACGGTATGGCGTATTGATGACAGGTTTGTTAGGCAGGCTTATTTGAATATTCTAGAAAACATCATGTTCCTCAGTGTAGAACAGTTATATCCAGAAAATAATTTTATCCTACAACAAGATAATTGTCCTGTTCACACTGCAAATATAAAAAACCAGTGGCTCCAGAATAACAAAATCGATCGAAACCTTACCATGGCCCAGCTACAGTCCAGATCATCGAGTTAGAATCTATGGAGAAGCTATGAGCATATTAACGTATGTATTAAAAACGGCATAAGTAGGAGTGTCTAACGATAATACCAATATGGCGGTGACATCAGGGCCAGACTCAATAATAATAAAACTACTATACAAATATGACTAGTTATTCAGAAGATTTAATCAGAATCTAAAAAAATTTCAGTTAGTTTGAATCTGTTTAATTTTTATTTGCTTTTATTTTGTTAGTTTTATAGTTGTGGTTGGGTTAAAGAGGATCCCGCGGTAAACACTAAAAACACGATATATTATACATAAAGGTAAATTAATACAGTCAAATACTATTAATTTATTCTCTGAAGTACGGCCATTACTTTGTTTACATATTTGTATACTAACCTGTGGAACGATATTCCTGAAGATTTTTTATTAACATTACTTCTGCTACTGCAACTACGTTGAGAACAAGAAACCATTATTATGCACTATCACAATATATTACAGTTTCTATAAAAGTATTATAAAACTGAAAATATTCGAAAAACAACAAATATAACCAAACATATACGATCTGTCAAAAGTTTCAAAACAATAATACCAATATGGCCGAAGTTAGGTCGTTTTTAGTCACGTGATGCCCTCTCCATAGTTTCTAATTCGATGGTCCAGATTTAAACCCAATCAAGAATGTGTGGGGGGTTATTATAAAACGGTTTTATCGGCGTAATTTTATACCTCAAAATGCTGAAGATCTGTGGCACGGTATACAATAGGTTTGGGAAGAGCTCTCTGAAGAAGGCAATTTCATAAAAAAAAACTAATATATGAGGAAAAATTTGTTGAATTTGTTTGCCGTCAAGTTTGTACCAGTGAGTTATGATATCATTAAATCTATGACGTGCACGTCTATTCTTTGAATTGTCCTTTATAAACATTTAAAATAACTCCGACGCATCAACATATAGGAAGTTATAAAAATCTCTTTTTCTATCTAATGCTTAATTTTAATGTACTTGTATTTCCATTTCCCGGAAGCTATTAGAAACCTATTTATATTTGTGACAACTTCATTGAATTTTTCTGGACAAAGTTTTATAATCATTTTAATCATAACTGCTAATTACCATATGCCATATATAATTACTGCCAACTACCTATAGTAGCCAGATTTATTCAGAAGAGCAAATTGACTCAAAATCCTCATCAGCCTTGAGATTTGTTGTGAATCAGCCTGTTTTCTATGGATAATTTTAAATCATGAATAATAGTTTCCCATTCGATAGTTTTAATCTTCAAATCCTAGAATTTTCATAGCAAATAAAATTGAAATTTCATACCTGAAATAATATGTTTATTATTTAGTTATTTTGCTGTAACTATTTCACATGTTAATAATAAAAAATTAATCTAATAAACAGGTACTCCTGAGAAATGACCACTTCACGGTGATTTATTTCTCTCTGGATCTCTCTCTCTCAATACCAAATAAACTTTAGTTCCCATTTGCTAAAAAGTGTTTTCCATAAATAACTAAAAATAAAGTTATTCTTGGAATTTAACCGCGTACCAGTTACGGATAAGTGCGAGTACTACCTGTATTATAATATCAACCAAACAATCCAGACTAAATTGTTTTGTTGAGTTTACAACAGTGAATCATAAATATATTCGAAATATTTTGCTGTTAATGTCTACGATAATGTGTATTGGTATTGTTATATTAAATATTCGTTAATTAAATACAACCAAATTGTGGAAAATTCCGATGTGAACAATACATTAAACTTGTTTTTGTGAATTTTATTACTCAATTAATTTTTTCATTAATACAGTAAGGTGAGAATTTGAATTTTTTTCCTGGTAAGAAATTATATGTATTGTTATTTATTTCATACTAATCCATTATTGTGTTTTTATTGTTTAGTACTCAACTATATAGTTTTTGATAACTTATTGGCACATTAATAAAAATAAATATAATTTTTTTAAATTAACACTGAACGCCTTGTGTAAAGTAACGTTTATAGCCTGGTCAATGAACACAAAATTTTACCAAAACCCAAAAAAATCGAGGTTAAAAATTTGGGAATAGATAGTGTATTAAAAAAAGATCTATGATGAAAGTACTTGGCAAATTAAATTAATCACCGTGTTTGATAGTTGCCTTGTATACCCAAGTTTAATTATTCGAAATTCACCTTATATCGATGTATTAAAAAAGGTTTACCATATGTTTACTAGAGAATCTCCATTGTACGATCAGGTCTTATAGATGAATAAAATTGAATATCTTTAAAGTCAGAAAAGCTTATGTATTTAACATTATAAGGCTGTGTTCTTCTTGCTTCTTTGCAAACAGCAATGTAATCATAATAAGGTACATAAATATCACGATTTTTGAGCCGTCTTTCAATTGTGCTATGGACCCAGTCGACTTCCATCTGGGTATGATCCTTGTGGAGATACTTCTGAGTAATATGAACGTTGTTTCCATACAAAATTGAAGAAGAGAATTTGAAAGTATTAAATTTTTGTTTTGATACCCACAACTTTCACTGTATATGATAAATTCTTTTGCTGATTTATTTTCTGAAAGGTAATTGGAGAGGAACTCTGTAAGGAGAGTGGCGAAAATATTAGCTTCAAGACCACCTTGGGCTTCATCCCAGAGGTAATAGATTACATCTTTAGTACCCATATTGTAGACAGTATAATTATGAACAAAGTTTTGTCTTATAATAGATGGCATTAGCTTGACAGGAGACAACTTTACAACCTGTACATCTTTAAAAAAAAGCCGCGATTTCTTTGCGGTGACTAATAGCTTTCTCTTTATCTTCCATTTTCAAACACCTTGCTTGTTCTTTTTTTTTTTCTTGATGTTTCATCTACTCTTCATCTGAAATATTTCCCAATCCATGAGAAATACAAGATTTCTGACAAAAACTTTTGAAGTATGTGTCTTGATTCATCTGTACTCCTCCTATTTCTACCGGCTCTCCGAAAGTTTACTTCAGGCACATTCATTCCACTATTTTTTTAGCACATTCTTTAACCATCCATTCACCTACATTTAATGTTAAGAAAAACATTTTTTTACAGACCTTTTTTTTTTCTCAGTTCCATTTTTTAAATAGTAATGGAGAGTGCTACTTCTTCGAGATCCTTCTACTTTACGTTTGCTAGAAACAACATCAACCATTGAACTTAAAAATGTCTTTTTTATATCACATGATAATTGTCAAAATGAATCAAAAATTGCTTTTCTGTTCCACAAATTGATTACAAAATATTGTCTTTGATGTTTGACATTTCCGAGAGTTACATCCAGGTTTTAAAGTGCGTTTGTTTTTATTAACCATCAACCTATAATGCCCATCATTATCTTTCTTTAAGCCCAAATACTCTTTTCCAAG